GAAAAAAAAAACGTGGACCAAAAACTGACTCGCGACAGGAAATAGACTTCAAGTTTCGGTGGGCGGAGCAATTAGGGAGGCGTCAGAACTGCCACTTATGAGGGCCCCAGCACCTTCGAGACAGCTTTAGAGACTATGGACCAGACTACTCGAACACGCTGAGCGTGGGGACTGTCTTTAAGCTCTTCCTTTATAATTTTTGACGCTGTTTCGCCAAGAAGTTATCCGTTTCGGAGTAATGCCTTTCTTTGACAGGTTGCTGTAATTCTTAGAATTAATCGCTAGTGTTTCTGAATAGTTCATACTGATTGCCACGAAACGAAGTGATAAGACACACGCGAGGTGTCGATCACCGAGCCCTGAACATTCCTGCCTTATCATTCGAGAACTTGTTACGGCACCCTTATCAGCTGCTGTCACCCCCTTGTTTGCTACATTTAATCTGTGTTTAATGCATGTTTATTCTAACCTTATTCGTAATTGCTTTTCGTGTCCATTTTACTTTGACCCCATTTTCAGCTGCAATATGTTGACTCGAATGTTGAAGAAAATCTGGAATACCTCGCCAACCAGAAACAGCAAGATGAAGCGGCGGCCATTAGCGAACAACGAAAGAATCGAAAAGATGACTCGAAAAATCCACTAGGGCTTGGTCAAATTGTAAGTTTTTAGGTGACTTCTTCATTTAAAATATACTGTTGTGTATATTTTCACTAGTTATTTCAGGTTGTGATGGTAGGCAACGGTATGGGAATGTTCCAAATCATCTCTTCAAATAGTGAAGATGAAGGTAAGCGAGTTTCCATCGACACACTTCCCGATGAGTAAAGTTGGAGGCTCCTGCAATATACTTTCGGGCACGCCCTACCGTTGCGAGAGAATTTTGCATAATACGCCTTTCCTTCACTTCCTCTTCTGGTACAACCCCCCCCCCCCTCACCTCCCCGTTCCTCCCAACCTACTTGTCATCTCCCTTAGTTCTCTCAACTTCCTGTTCGCTTAGTACCGCACTGGAAACATTTCTCTAAGCATTTCTCAGCAGAATACGACCCCCCCCGCCTACCCCCCCTATACCGCTCCCAGCGACTGGCCAATGGAAACCCTTCGCTTGGGGAATCCCCAATTGTGTGCCGACGTGGCCCGGATACAGTGCCCAAAAAACTTGAAATAGCTTCGTGGAGCGTGGCCTCTTTTACGCCAGTTTTGATTCATTTAATGCATTCAAGAAGCTGCAAAAACCATTAGCGTAATTCGACAGATATTAACCAAGCACGTTTATGATGTATGACACCAAATTCACCGCTTGTACCGATTCAGAGAAAAAAAAACTATCAGAATCCTTAAATAGGCAAACTGGCTTGATCCCAGCTCATTTCATCTTTATATAGATGTGGTCTTTGGCCACAAAAATCAGGTTTCGCATTTCCTCGCGAATCTGTTAACTTTGATTTGATTCGTGTTATTTATTTCTGGCTTTTTTCGAAACTTAAATACACACTCAAGATTTAGGATTAGAAGCTGAGAGACCAAAAACCTCACTCTTTCTAACTGCATGGCGTTGCCAACAATTTTCTCCCTCTTGTTTGTTTATGTGGTTCTGTGGACCTTACACACGCTCGTCTGGTCCTCATCGCCGAGGCGTCCTCTGGCGTCTCTTATTCATATCAACACTCATCCAGTGCTTAAAATCAAAGCCGGAACTTAATTGCACGTTCGTTCAGGCTTATCCTCTGCCCCCTGTTTTTTGTTGAGTCTTGCTAGCTCAGACATGTTCCCCTGTAGTACTCGCGACCGGCAAAATGTGAACGGAATGGGAATGAGCCTTTAACATTGCTACAACTGAGCGTACTTTGATGTTTTTCCTCAATCTTCAACATACCTGCTGGGTACTTTGCTCGCTAGTCATGATAAGAGACTTAACTTGGTATGCGGCCATGGCGCTTTCTAGCACTTTTGGAGCTAAAGGATCAAATTCCCTTGGGAACAAAGATGCAAATCCTTCAAGTCGTTCTCTTTTGTTTACTTAGTACAGTACGAATCATATGTCCGCGCCAATCAGGGAAAGAAGTTATAATGATTGGGCCAAGGGGGTTAAAGTCCAGTCGATGCGAGTGTACTTTGAACGTACTTTGATCAGAACTGCAACATTATAAATCGTGGTGATAATAGCGGAACACGATCGCAGAGCAGTTTAACGTTTTGAGGAGTTAACTAAATTTGTCTCTTCTTTAAGGAACTGCGTGTAGAGTCCATGGGAAATTTCCCGTGAGAAAAGGTAAAGAAGAAACAATTACAATATCAATCGGTTCAGCTCTAGGCATGGGAATCTTTGCCCATATTGAGGGTGCTCAGTCATGTGAGTTTTATGTGTTACATGTTTCCCTGAATTTACATTCCCAATCATTTCAAATGTTATTGTATTCAGCAGGAAATATTTCACATCGGATTGAAAAGTTCAATTTCGGCCCCAGAGTTAGAGGTCTCGTCGCCCCTCTTGCTGGAGCTGAACAAATCTCAAAAAGTGGTAAGTTCTTGTATCTCATATTAATGTTTTTTTTAATATACAAGAACCCTATAATTATTGCAGGTCACGATATTTATCGCTATTCTATCAAGGTGGTTCCGACGAGAATACATGGGATCTTTGGTACATATACGATAACTTATCAATATTCAGTCACTTTTTTGGTAAGATGAGGTGCTCCTATAAATAGAAAAGAAACCGTTTTTATTTACTTCATCAGAACGTTGGCTTGTTTAGAAAAAGCAACTGGCAGAAGGTGAACATAGCCGTGGAGGTATTCTATTCGAGTACGAGTTTTGTGCGAATGTAATCGAAGTTAGAGAAGTTAAAAAGTGAGTCTTTTCTCCTCGACTTAGCATAATCAGTACGCTCGAATAGTGTAAAACGCATAATCTGTACGCTCGAATAGTGTTAAAACCTGACAGCATGGTAGGTAAAC